TAGGCTCATAGATCTATTTCCCCATCCTCATATAATATATTTGTATATGTACATGTCTTTATCTAGAGCTCTATAAATGCCCTTTGCCGCACAGCTCTGATATGAGTTTTATCAATGTTGTCCCACTTTACCAATATTAAAATCTGGTCACCTTACACTAATTACAGGTAAAGACATACATCACAGGAAGGGGTTGCACTATAGGTTATATAGCAGTGAGAAGGGGTGGTCTAGGGACATATATGCAATAGGAAGAGGAGGGGTTGAGGGTATACATGTGACATGATGGGTGGATCCTAGATTTAGGATGGCAGTTTAACCTTGGATGTCACTGAGCAGGTTCAATCCTTTCTCTGGATCTCCATAGGAACCATTATCAGTAGGGTGTGGACTCCACCTACAGGAACCAAATCAATGACTGTAGGCCTGTCCATTGTCCCCAGCAGCAAGGAGCAGGGCCTACTCCCTGGTGACTGACTGTCTTGGGGAGGATGTCTATAAGCATCTGACCTCCCCCCACAGTGGGAAAGTCAAAAGAGTCAAAATTTGTTTCAACTGCACAAAGCATAGAAAATTGTCCAGAAAAGCAATGATAATCACCATGTCTAGTCTGATGTTGATTCCAACAGGACCAGCAGATCAAGGTTGTCGGCAGGTGGCAAAGAATGAACAACACAGTTTAAGTAGAACAACTCTATTAACAAAATCACGGAAGGGGGCAGGGGGGTATGAAGTCCAGCATTAACAACGGAACAGAAAATAAAAACTTTAAATTTTCTGTTGAGTGCATGCCCACCTGTGTCAAGCCCCCGTGTTTCAGAACAGAACTGCGCTCCATGGGGCCTTCAAGGGCTCGGATCTTTCCTTTCTTTGGAAGCACCTCTAATTGGATTCTAGCCATCAACTTTCCAGTGAGTAGCCAAGTGCAGGACCCACACAACAGGCAGTAAAGAATCCACAGGGGGAGAGAACAAGCTACAAACATAAACCTAACATCTCAGATACTGAGAGATCTGAGAATATTTTGTACAATTTTTTTTAAACAACCTCATCTCTGACGTTCAAGTATACATAGTCTTTGTATGGAATTGGCTGACTTTCAAATTCCTGTTCTGTAGTTTCTGGTTCTATGTACTGCCCTAAACTCCATATATGCATTATTGGTTGAAAATATTTATGATAGAATTTTGAAGGACCTCAATATTTCAACTAAGAATCATCATGATAAGTGGATTTTTAACTATTAGAAAAAGTCAAACAACACTATCTCTGTTGCATCTCAAGTACTAAAATTCTGAAGGTAAATTCTAAAGAAATTATGAATGGAATATATATTTTAGATGATTCGTAGTAGAAGTATTTTAAGACACTAACTGCAGCCTTCCTTATATCCTGAAGTAAGTTTTGACCAGGGGAACCCCACATCACACAACCCTTCCTGCTGAGGTAGGAATTACCAGAAAGATCATCTCAGTTCTATACATTTATGACGAGTAGGCATCCATACATTACCAGAGGATTGTTTTCCTTTTATCAACTTGAAATTGCTGCATTGCCTTCTGTCTATTAGAAGAAAGAAAAGAATCACTATTAACAAAAGTTGAGAGACCTCAAAACTCATTAGACTCTTTGACGGATGGAATGTCTCCCAATAGGAAGCCTGGCAAAAATAGACACCCAGTACCCCATAACGGAAAGAAAACCATAGACTAATGACTTGGACTTAACACAGGACTTACCGCATTGTCCCAGGAAGGGCTGGTTTGCAGAGAGCAGGAATCTAAAGATGAAAGCTATGCCTTAAACATGTACACTGGGGCAAGAATGTGATTGGACACAGTGGGTGGGAGTCTGAAAATAAACCAAAGTCATTGTACAAACAGGAAGCTGGGACCCCTTGATGAATATGACATAGCATTGTGAAGAACTAGTACAGCCTTGGCAAGGCTCTGCATTGGTTCCGGTTAAAGAGCTATAACTTCTGATGGGAAATTTACACAAGCATAAAATCCCCAGATCTAGGCAGGATACGGGGAGGAAAACAGCCTCTTCTTTGATTTCTGGTGCATCCCAAGACAGAACTACCAGGCCAGAGGTGGCACTGTGTAATAGCGGGCCACCTTTTGAAAACAAAACCATGTCTGGCGGTTACAAGAGCATAGCCAAAGGAGGAGCTTTTCAGCATGCTGATCATGTCTCTGTCCGCAAGGGAGTTTGAGGCAGGCTGATCTGTTGAAAAGAAGTTAGCACCTAGGATCCTTGGAAATTTCAATCCTTAGTAGATGTTTTCAGCTGGATTTTCCTCATTTGGAGGGCAAACCCCATCAGTAACTAACGGTCCTGAGGGCTTTACTCTCTCTGTGTCATTATGGCTGGCTACACTTTAAGAAGGCAGCTCTTCTCGGTCATGCTCTGTGTGCTTCCCGAGCTGAGGGTCTCATTTGCTGGCACTAGATCTTACAGGGTTCGGATGGTCTGCGTGAGGTTTTCAGTATCTGATCAGGTTCCACGACTATTCATATGGTCTTCAATGGCTGATTCCTGGAAGTGGACAGCCTATTCCGTCTTTGTAGTCTATTCTTTGTCCAGAAGTTCTGCTGAAACCTATTCACTTGGGTAACCCTGCCAGTATTGGAAATACCAGTGACATCTCCTCCAGCATCCAACAACGCATCTGCCACTACCATACAACAAACTGACCGGGAAGTGGTGGAGATATATCTATCTTTATATCCACCCACTCCCCATCGAAAAATGGAACAAGCAGGAATTCAGGACGAGAGCTTCAGGCAATGTACTAAGAAAACACAGTGTCGTTTCTTCTCACCATTTAGGCTCTATCATTTCCTAGATTGAGTCACGGATCCAGAACTTTGCTACTAACTTCAAGTCTGTGGTTGGAACCCACCCAGTGACTCCACAGCAGATAAAAACTCTGTTCTCATAAAGATTCACAACAAACAAGTAAACTCACTGCCATGAAGTCAAGTCTAAGACAGAGTAGCGCTGCCCCTGTGCGTTTCTGAGGCTGTAAATCTTCAAGAGGAAAAAGAGTCTCCTCTTTCTTCTGTAAATCAGTTGCTAGGTTCACATTGCTAACCTTGCACACCCACCGGGCCATAGGGGCCACCATGGCCCCTACGAGGCCGTTCTACAAAGTCACGCTGGGCCACTGTAAGTCAACATCAACTCAGCAACAACTAAAACGAACAGATCCAGCAGCCCCTTCACAGGACAACTCCCCTGACCCCAGGATCAGACCACCCAACAAAGAAAGTGAGCATGGACTTCCTTCCGTGTGCTCGCTTACTAATCTGTAGTAAAATGCTCCACGTTCTGCTGACACATCATCCAAGACACACGTGCATGTATGGGAGCCATCGTTCTCTTTCCCACCACATAGCATCTTAAAAGAAGATTCTAAGCATCTTTTCAAATTTGCCATCCGTGGCAGGGGAAGCCCAGTAAGCAAGTTAGACAGGGGCTTATGTGTGTTAACTTATGGCTCTGTGGAGTGAACAACTTCACATGACCAAAACACGTGTGAAATAGTTCACTACAGCTTTGTGAGCAAGTAAAAGTTACCCTACATTTGCCTCTGCTCCCCATTCACTTCTACTTTCCAAAGTTTACAGAGCTAGGGAGAGGAAGGGAACTCAGGCTCGAGGTTTGCTAGTTATTTTAGGATCCGTCAATATGGACAAAGGACTGTGCTTGTGTATGTGACTTAGACATCAGATAAAGCCTTCTAAACTCCTCAGCTATATATACATTGGCCTTGTTACTGCACCCATACCTTGTGCCCTATATTTCTCCAGCTTCCTGGAAGCTTATATTCTAGGGCTCTTCTGCTTTCTTAGAATTTTATAACTGTTCTTTCATCTTACAGACACTCCACATATTAGAATTGTCCTCTTCTCTGTGATTCCCACACATTAAAAGACTAATATATAATGGATTAAACTGGTGATTGTGTTTTGCTAGCTGTCATCACCTTAGCCCTAAGCACATGGCAACTCTACGCACAACAGAGGACAATACAAAGCTAATCCTCCTGCGGAGTTTTGAGTACATGAGATTTGATTTGCTGTCTTCTGCACATCTGATTATATTTGTGATGTTTTTGCTAATATATGTATTTTTAAAAACTAAAACAGAAATGGCCCATACATACTGAGTATTGACATGGAGCAGACTTTTGGGAAATCTTTAGTGGTCGGGACAGATATGTTCAGAGAATATTTTGAATAGGACATCACACCTGCAACTATCTTACAATAGTCTATCAGGCATTCCTGTACTGAAAAGTTGTCCAGTCCACACGACTACCACTGGATTCTCATTGCTCAGGAGCCCCATATGCTTCCTAATGTTTGCTCATTCTGTTGACTCCTCTCACCACCCAGTACAATTAGGGCTTCAGATTTCTCATCATTTTTCAATTGTTCCCATGTGTTATTTCCAAGATGCACAGAGAAATAAAAAAAGAATCCCTCTCAGGAATATTTATGAGTATAAAAACAAACAAACAAACAAAAAAAACTCACTGCAATAGAGACAATGACAGCTCATAGCAATCCAATAGGACAGGGTGGAGCTTCTCCTGTTTGGTTTCTAAGACAGTACTCTTTTCAGGAGTAGAAAGCCCCATTTTCTCCCATGGAGCAACCAGTGGTTTGGAACTGTTGATGTTATAGTTAGCAGCCCAAGTCATGACCACTATGCCCCCAGGGCCCCTTTGTTTATGAGCATAACTACTGAAAAATTATTTAGTTACATTTTAAGAGCCACATGTTTCCACATGTGGAAATACATAGATGATATGAATTTTTTTTCCATGCATTGTTTTTATAAGCAGGTATTCCGACTCACTGGCCAACTTACCTATAACTACTCAGGCCATTTGAATCTCCGTTTTGTGGGCAAACAGCAGAGCCATAGGCACAAGGGGTATCATGTATCTTGCTTGGATAAGATGGGCTCAACTAGCCATAGAGAGGACCTCAGGACTACAGGGTACTCACACACACACACACACACACACACACACACACACAATTGTGCAAGCTGAATTCATGCAGGACTAGCACCCTGACACCTTGCTTGTGTTGTAGCAACCCCACGGGCAACTCTAAGCCCAACCCCCGTCTGTCTCCTTCACAACTGCACTACTTTCTGACCTGGGCAGGAACGGGCCCAGAGCCAAATGAATATTTGATTGTTTCTTTTCTGACTCCCAAGGGACTACTAAACTTGACCATGGCCTATATCTTTATTATACAAACATGATTAAAAGTAACATTTTCAGACTATCGAATAAGGGTGAATGAGGCATTGATGATGTTAGCATTGGCATGCTGTGCCAAACATTTTACAAAAATTCATCATTGCCACCATCACGTGTGGATGCATTATTTAATTGGATGTGCTATCTGTGAAAAAGCGCAGTACACTCATCTCATTATTTTGTGTTACCATCACACATATTAATTAGTTGTTTCTAGCTCATGTCTTTCATAATAGCAGTATCACATAGAGTTTGTTTAGGATCATCTCTTTGGATAAGCTGTTGTTCTTGGTTTATTTCAATAGTATTTTAGAAAAGCTTGGACAATGCATTAGCCAAATTCTTTAATGCCTAAAGATAGCTGTCATTGCAACTGTCAATCTATAAATGTCCACATTCTGAAAGAATCCCCTGACCTCCTTACTGTCAATAACTATTTTTGACATGTCTTGATAACACCTTAAGCTTCTCACATTTCACATTATTGCCCATATTTTTAAGTCAAATTTTTTAGACTGAGTCACCATCCTCTGAAACACCTAAGACTAATCATTAATTTAATGTGTCTTTTAATTTATTAGTATACCTTCTTTCCAGTCATAGCATTATATTTCTTCGGATATATTGGTCAAAGCTATATTTAATTTCAAACACTTTTTGCTACCATTACTTGCTCTTTTTCCTACCTTTATCTTTTGTTCCTAAATTTCAACTGACCCGCAAAATTTTCCTTCAACTCTGGGTTTTATACCAACATTAGATCTGCATTGCTGGTTGCAGTTTTCTTTGACATAAGAAATTATAATTTATTGAACCATAATAACAGTGTCCTCTGACATAGTTACTCCCCTGTCAATCCTCACCAATTTACCTCCTTCTTCATTCCCATAAATTTGCTTTCTAATTACCTCATGTGGATGATCAGAATTCAAATTCACCATACTGCCACAATCAAAACCCTAAGCATAAATTCTTTGGGTGGGTGGGTGGGGGGGAACGTAGATTTTTAAACCAAAATCTGCTATAAATTCTTCTAGGGCATCTTACTGATTCTTCGAATCTTGGCAAGGCCCTGTCCTCTGTTGTCATAGCACCAGTTATGTACTCTAATGTGCACATAGCACACTCCATTGTATTGCCTGTAATTTTCCTCAATTGGCCTGTAAGTGCCATGAGGACAAGAATCAGCCTTGTTCTCTGAGGAGTCTGCAGTATAAAGCACTAAGCCTGACCCAGCTGTAGTGCCAAATAAATATTTAGAATTCTCTTATCACACTGAATTATCTTAGAGCTATGGACTCCTTTCTAATAAAATTGCAATACATGCAGTTACTATGCATGTCATAGTTTTACAGAGAAATTACTCCCCACTGAAGACCATCAAATAAATTTAAATTCATGAAAGATAGACAATGTGAAATAGAGGACACCAACACATTACCAGAATGCAAAGGAAAGGATAAGGTCCAAGCAGATTCAATATATGAAAAGACTGCTTTCCTGAAGTTTTTACCTTTGTCTTTTTATCTAGGAAATCAAAGTTAGTTCAAGCTCAAAATATATTTTCCATAATCAATGCTTACTTGACAGAACCACCAAATCAAACAGAAAAATAAATGCACAGCTAGTGCATCCACTCAGACTCAGAATAACCCTATTAGACAGTGTAGTAGAGTTTCCAAGGCTGTAAATCTTTATGGCAGTAGAAAGCCTCATCTTTGTATCATGGAGTGGCTGGTAGGTTGGTGCTACTGAGCTGTGACTAGCAGCCCAAGTAAGCCACTGTGCCACTAGGCCTCTTTGCAGTGCCATCACCACTATCTCTCTCTCTCTCTCTCTCTCTCTCTCTCTCTCTCTCTCTCTCTCTCTCTCTCTCTCATATGTGTGTGTGTGTATACACACATGTATATGTATGTATATGTTTTTGCCAACTTTGTCCATCTTTTATGATGCAACTGAAATATAATGTTTGCAACAAATCAGTAGCTTACTCTTATTACATTTACCATTGTACAAAGCCCTGTGTTAAGTACATTTCATGTATTCTATGATTTTATTTTCTAAACAAAAGCACAGGGTAGATATTATTATCTTCATTTACAAAAGAGAGACTTGAGACTTAGGAAGATGAATAACTTGCCCAAGTATGCCCTACGAGAGCATTATATGTATTTCCGTTGTTTTGTATAGTATATGTATTTATTTGCTTACATCTCCCTCTAAGCTGTCAACTCCATTTGCTTAGCACAGAATTTGACACGTAGTGAATAGTCAATAAGCATTTGTAATCCTTAATTTATTGTCAAATTTTGAATGCCTCTGTTATTACTTTTAGGTTTTTTATAGGCAAGAAGGTCACAGTATCAGTGAGATCATTGAAACACAAAAACCTCAAGCAGTAGTACCACTCCCTGATGCAGGAGTCTACATTATTGAAGTCCGAGCTTACAGTGAAGGAGGAGATGGAACGGCTAGCTCCCAAATCAGGGTACCATCATATTCAGGTAAGTTGTGGCAAATAAGCTTAACTTGATGACCACCAAAAATTCCATGTTTATGTAGACTTCATCAAATTGAGAATGTGGACTGCATAATTCAGAAAATTTTAAAGAAGTCTCTTCACATCTGATCTCCGTATCACCCTTTGATCTATATGAACTATGATGGTCTGCCCACAATTGCTACATCTCTACAAATCTATAAAGGAGGGGATATTTCATTAGAATAGCCCTATTTGTGGAATTCCCTTGCCCATCCTGGCTTCAAACAGTACCATTTTGCTGACACTTTGTGGTTTTCATTATTGCTTTCAAACAATTTTGCACAAGTTAAACATACATATTTCTCTACTGTTTTTGTTACATACTGGGGGTTTATATGAACGTTTGAAGGGAATGATTTTAAAACAAAATAAATGGTTATTTTTATTGATTTCAAAATATGTTTTCAATATTTTAAGCATTATTGTTGCTTTGATGAGCAATATTAATGATTACTTACTGTTACTGAGCCCTTTCTAAGTATCAGACACAACAATAAGTGCTTTACATACATTATCTTGTTTAATATCTATAAGAAATAAGTTAAGTCTGGGGTATTGTTTTTGTTTTCCAGAGAAAATTTAAATACCTTAAAGTCATACTCTAAGTGATAAAACCAAGATTCAAACCCAGGTACACTTTAGTTCAAATCTACATGGGAGTAAAAAATCTGGTAATAGTCCCTACTAAAGATTTCAACCTAGGCAATCCAATGGGACGGTTCCACTCTTTGGTATGCATATGAAATGAGCTTAATGACATATAGTAGCATGCTTGTTGTCGCCAAGGGTGCATATTTTTACCACTACTATCATTATTCACGCGCACGCATACACACACACACACTCACTAAGGAAAAGTGGTTTTAGAAAAGTGGAAGTCACCATTTCATCAAAGTAATCATTTTTAAAAAGTAAAATGTAAAAAACAAAGTAAAAATGTGTAATTCCATATACAAATCTAAGAAAGTCGATTTCAAAAAGCTTTGTTTTTTTAATAATGGTCGTATCTCCAAAAAACAAAGAAGAAAAAAGATTAAGAGAAATGGGACACCCTGAAAGGTAACAAGAACAAAAATTAAATCAAAATTACTATTGAACCCAAAGAGAAGAAAAAATAGGAAAGCCTGGACAAAAGTCTGTCAGAGGAGCCGTTTTATTAAGTCTGAGAGAAAACTACGATTGCAAGAGTGATGAACCAAAGACAGATATCAGATGTGGGGGCAGACATCTCGTGGTCCACTTTCGCTGCCATTGGACTTAGGGTTTCTGCGGCTGTAACTTTTGTACGAACAGGTAGCCTCTTTCCCCAAAGGAGCTGCCGGTACGTTTCAAGAGTTGGGGAAGCAGAAATTCAGAATGAGCCATAACTAGATATTTTTCAGGAAAAAAATTAACTGCATTTCTTTAACCAGGTCCACAACATGTAGAAAGAGAAGGAGGGCTCACTATTAAGACAAGATAGTGTTCTTAGGTGCTGTGCAGCCGGCTCCGACTTGCAGTGACTCATACGGACAACAGAACAAGACACCACAAGGGTCGTGCACCGGGTTCCTACTTGTTCTTAATTCATAGTAATCAGGAATCCAATTCTTATTTTTGTTCATCTCCATAAAGAAAAGTGACAGTCAAATTGCAAAGGGTAAATACTGCAAATCATATGTAATAAAGAATTGGAGTGAAATATAAATGAATGGAATTCAAAATAAATGAATTAAAAAATCACCTGGTGATTTCAATGAGTAGACTCCAGGTCTCCACTATATTACAGAGAAAGACTTTTTTTGGATAAAACTATAGAATCACTCTTCGGAATCTGAGTAACAATGAATAGTATCTTCCTAATTGGTTAGTAGATGGTCATCAAAAAGAAGACTCTCAAGGAGATGAATTGACCCGGTGTCTACACAACAGGCTCAGATATCGCAGTCGCTGTGTTATCGTGCAGGATCAGGCCGTGTTTTCTTCTGTTGTCCACGGGGCAACTGAGTGAGAATCCACTCCAGGACACCGAACCACAACGAAGGCCACAGTCAGTCAAGTGTATTTATGGCACGTTATGTTGCATAACAGTTTACAAAGGTTTTCATAAAAATCATCTCATTGGATAGTAATTGTGAACAAACCAGGAAAAATATAAGCATCCCAACTTCTTGAGAAGAAAATGAAGCTAAAATATTTTCTTAAAATAACTACTGAAAAAAAAACAACTACTGAACATTTACCTGGGAGGACTTGAACTCAAACGCTTCTTCACAACCTCAGTCCACTCTCTTTAGACCACCGCCTTGCTGAAGCCAGACAATAAATAGCATTTGGGGTTTGTTTGTTTTCTAATGGTCAGAAGGATAAAATAATGGAAACAGCATACTAGTGTACTTGATATTTCTCTCTGATTTTATGTATGTGTGTATGTATTTGGGGGGCTCAAAAATTCCATTACCATCTAGTTCCATTTTCATTGACGTTTTGAAGTTCCTCATGAATAAACAAGTGATTGTGAATACTCACAAGTCCATAATCAAGAAAGACTGCAATCATCGGGCAAGTCAGCTCCTCTGTCATTGCTAGTTACTAGACTGTAACTGTCATTGCCTCACCAGATGACATGCTATGATATATATACAGTTCATAAAGGTAAATTCTCTTTAAATACTTTTTAATATGAATTTAGTCAGGGGTGTTTGTGAGCATTAATTATATGCTAAGCAATCATTCTCAAGTAGAATTGTCAACTTAATGAAAAATCACCAATGGGATCCTTTAGGCCCTAAAGTTTAGTGTTTTGTAAACAGCCTGATCATATTCAAAATATTTATCAATTTGGATTAGACCCAGAAGCATTATTTATTAATATTTTGATGGCATGGAAAATAAATATACTGAATAAAAAGACAGACTTAAATTCTGAGGAAAAACTATTACCATAATAATTAAAATATTTTAAATTCTTAAATAAAAGCACAAGTGAGATAAAAGATATTATTGAAATCATTAGTGAAATTTCAATGTCTGTAAATTAGATCATTTACATAATTTTTTAAATGATAAAAGTCTAAAAATTCAATGACTTTCTTTAAGTGAAAAATAACGTCAGTTATACAGCTTACATATTTGTTGATTTATATTTTGCTATATCATACTAATATTTTAAGAACATTAATTTCCTAAGTTTGAAATTTTTTCTGGGTTATAGGAAGTGTTCTTAGTGTAGGGAAACACATTGAAGTATTTGGGGATAAAGGAGCATGAAAAATTCAACTTACTTTCCCAGAGTTATTTCAAAAAATAATCATTTAAGTGGTAAAATGTTAACATTTGGACGTTCTAGGTGAATCCCTTACAATTTTCTGGTATATCTAAAACTCTTTCTAAATGAAGAGCTAAGAACAAAACATAAGATGGGAGAATTCTGACATTTTTCAAAAATTCAGGTAAAAAGAAATAAAGGGTTAAACGTGACTGCACAAGAGATTGATGCATTTGTAAATGATTCATTTGTAAAGAACAGGACAGGTAATGACATCGTTGCATTTGTTCGTATACAATTGAACTAAGTGAATGTTAAATGTTCAAGAGCATATTAAAAGACTAAAGATTATCCGTGAAAAGTGAACCAGATGGTGGCTCTCCCCTTTGTTTTCCAAAGGAGTCAAACTTCTAATAATAATAATAATAATAATACAGGCAGCATTTCCTATGCACCGATCAGGTTTCTGCCCTGCCCTCGAGGCTTTACATAGATGATCCCATTTTGTCCTTCCAACAGCCCTGTGAGTCAGATACTTCATTATCCTCAGACCCTTTGGGGTTCCTTTCGACACAGTTTCTAAAGGATCATCTGAATAAAGTCAGCCTCAAGCTTGTAAGTATTTATAAATAGTTTGATTCTCCCATTTATATTTTAATTAGCCTGTAAATTCTAGTCCATGAAAAAAGAAAAAGGGCACTTTTTATGTTATAGTTAACATTTAGGCCATCACAGCCCATTTCCTGTCCTTCAGTAAACTAGAATTCCATAATATTATCCACCTTGAACCCCTAAAATCTAAGCAATCATTCGTTTTATCTCCATAATTAAAAGAATATGAAAACAAAAGTCTAAAAATTCAATGACTTTCTTTAAGTGAAAAATAATGTTAGTTATACAGCTTGAACGAGGACTTGGTTCAACGGCTTGCTTGTTTGTTTATTTATATTTTGCTATCCCAAAGTAATATAATTTTGCTTTGTGGGTTTTATGTGAGATTTGAGATATAGATACTACACAGCATTCTAAAAATGAGATGTTTTTGTAAAAGTGTCATGTAGGTTGATTTAACAAGGGCCCAGCTATTCTCAATAAACAGGAAGGATGCTTTCAGAGTTCTTATTTATGAAGCATGGTCATACCACTCCAGTGAGGCTTTGTCATCTTGCTTTCTTATAGCTCACATGTGGCTACGCACACTTTGAAACAGTCCTACTTTTGTGAAAGTGGAAATAAATTTAACATTTTCCAATATGTTGATAAATAGATTTTATTAGTGCATTAGCTATAAATATTTTCAAAGAAAAGAAGATTTGCTGCCTTTTTTTTAGATTTGCCAAAAAAAATGATGCTTCAGCTCTAAAGTTACCATCTGGAAAATAAATTCAGATTCTATGTGTGTAATGAAAAGTCACACACACACACACACACACACACAAATCTCCTTAAACCCAATCTGGCCAGAGAATATAACTTGATTGAAGAATAAATCCCAAACCTGGATGTTATAGTACTGATAGTAGAAGTAGTAGTGTTCTAACCAAGGCCATTCACTGTTCTGAGAGAGATCAGGTTGTACCAGCCCTTAAGTCAATTACTTTCCAAGCCAAAGGGCCAGTCATCAAGTACATTCCATTTCATAACAACCCTAAAGAACCAGGTAGAACTGCCCCTGTACGTTTCGGAGACTGCAACTCTTCATGGGAGAAGAAAGCCTCATCTGTCTCCTGTGTAATGGTTGGTGGTTTCAAACTGCTGGCCTTGTGTAAGCAGCCCAATGCAATCTAAGCCCCAGTTCCCGCATGGGCACCAAGAAGATAAGTGACAATACTTTGTGCATGCGAATGTCATAAGGATCAGATAAGGAAATGTTTATAGAGAGCTTATTACAGGGCATGGCACATAATAAGCACTCATTAAATATCATTCCTAATGATGAGGCTTCAGAAGAATTCTGCTGGTATTTAAAGGTACTATCTCGTGGCTTTGTGTAGGTAGCAAAACTACTTCTGACTAATCACTTCAGAACAGCCATGGTTAACAAGTGACCCAATTCAATACGTTAATATTAACTGAACGTTATTTTGGTCCCCAGAAGATCTTCTCCTGGGTAGAAATAAGAGGCATCTCCCCTTTGCCAAGTTTGGCTGTGGATATATAGTTTAAATCTATTCAACTGGCACAGTCAAGACAAACAAGGAACCAGTTTGCATTTAATTATTAAAGCAAACAATTACCATAAGCACCTACGTTAGGAATGCATGTTACCACATTCTTTCTAATTATTTTTGTTTCATTTCCTGAACTATAAATGATAGCAATTGTTTTCATTTTCATTCTTGGAAAATCAGTATTTGATTAGTACATCATTGCTGAAAATTACACTAAATCTGTAGATTAGATGTTTATTTTACATAGCCCAATGATCTTCAAACTCAGTATCACAGATATGTCTACCTTTTATGCAATATTTCTAAATTCTGACTCACAGCCATCAAGCTGATTCCACCCCATAGCAACTTGATAGGGCAGAGTAGAACTGGTCCCTTTGAGTTTTTAAGAATGTAAACCTTTTTTTTTAATCAATTTACTGGGGCTCATACAATTCATCACAATACATAGATCAATTGTGTAAAGCACATCTATACATTTGTTGCCCTCATTATTCCCAAAATTCGCTTTCCTCTTTGGTTCCCAGAATCAGCTCATTTTCATTTTTTTCCCTCCCAATCCCTTCCTCCTCCCCTCTCCCCCATGCACCCTTGATAATTTATAAATTATTATTCTATCTTATATTACACTGTCCGGCGTCTCCCTTCACCCACCCTTCTGCTGCCCGTCCCCCAGAGAGGAGGTTATATGTAGCTCCCTGTGATCAATTCCCCCTTTCTACACCCCCCTTCCCTCCTGGTATCGCCACTGTCACCCCTGGTCCTGAGAGTTTCATCTGTCCTAGATTCCCTGCGTTTCCAATTCCCATCTGTACCGCTGTGCTTTATGCAACAAACTTCATCTATTTCGCTCAGAGCAGCTATTGGGATTGAACAGCTGACTTTATGGTTAGCCCAGCACCTAACCCACTATTCTACCACCACTTCTTATACAACTTTCGAAACTCCGAATAATGTCTCATTTTGTAAGTCTGAGCAACACTCCCATATGAAACTGGATGAATGTGCTTATTGCTCTTAAAAATCTAAAAGCCACATTTTCCTAGCCCAAATCAGATCAAAATAATTTGCTTCTCTTTTGTATTGTTTGCAGGTGGAAAAATCACAAGTGCCCAGTCGACCCTCCACACTCTATCTACATCCTCATCGTCAGTAACATTGCTCTTGGCACTGATGATCCCTTCAACGTCTTGGTGAAAAGTGCAGACTTGATGGATACGATTTTCCATGTGCTGGACAACAGCAGCAGAGACTGCATAGGGTAAGGAGAGAGACCAGCACCCTCGGATGAGCTTGAAAAACTTGGAAGTACACGTGGTGCACTTACAGGAGTTTGGGGGGACTGTTACTTATCCATCAGGTTTCTCTGGTTTTTGTAAATGAGGAGGACTGTTCTTGGTCCGATAAAAATATGCAGATTGTATGTAATGAATTTTTGTAAGCAAAGGTAATTTCTGTCAAATGTATTCTTTACTTTTTTAATATGTTGGAATTTGGTTTTATATCTGATGACCCCGAGTGTGTGCCATCAATTTGTTAAAGGAAGTGATCTCGAATAGATGTGTTTCAAACACAGACACAACACTAAGAATGAAAAGCTTGCTTTAAGACGCTGAGTCTAACCTTGTCTAGTTTCCCTTCAGCTGACTCTTCCAATTTGACAACCAGTGAGAGGTGGGAAATGCTTCAGTTCTGTGGTCTATTATAGGATAAGTACATAAATGTTTTCTGGAAAAAGACTGTGTGATTGCAGAGTGAAATAGCAAGAGTTGTCAATATGCTATTCTATATGCATCCCTAGAGCAAGTTATTAGGGTAGGGAATAAGCCATTTACATTAGTGCAAGGGAAATAGAAAGTGAGTCCAAATGAAATTTAAGCGCTATTGTGTTTCATCAAGTACTATGTTATTTAGCTGAAAATATAGTAAATGTTTATTTTTAATAACAAAAAGATAGTTTAAAGCCACAAAAAGGATAGGATCACTAAAAACGTTGGGCACTGACATGCTCCCACGGGTGCTACCTTGAATACGGATGAATGGAGTACAGGACACATTTCCCCTTGTCCCCACTCCCCCTGAGACAGAGGCCGAAATAGGTGCAAGGTGTTCTTTTAGTTGCAACTAATTTGATGGACAGCCAAATTTTGTTGTGCAGATAAGTACATACACATAGAGTCTGTGGATTAAAATGGTTCAAGCATAACAAATTTTTAGTTCCTCTTTGTTTTTTCAAGTAAACTGTGGAGAGACGGCCGCAGCACCAGCTGTGCATGACTTGACTGCGTGACTCAAGGGGGATCCCCATTTACAATTTGGGGAGTCAACTGGACCCTGTGAGATCCTAATATATTTGCTGGGAAATTTCTACGAGGTCTAGAAAAAAAGAGTGAAAGTGTCAGAGTTGGCTCCATGCTTGTGAAGTTGCCAGAAAGGGATGGTTATTGCAAGAAAACAAGGAGTCTGCCTCCTCCCCGCTCCTCTCAAACCCTGGAGCTTCCCGTGAATGTTCATATGACAACCGTCAATGCCTTTGTTTTCTTCCTTTTATATAATCTAAGCTAGTTCACTCCACTTAGGTCTTTAACAGTGTGGAAAATAAAATGAGACCAAGATCACACTGTTGACTCTAAAGTAGTGGAATCTGAGACATGACTGAAGCTTCTGTTTTTAACCACCAAAAAGATGGCTTCCGACGTATTACATGACTATTATGTTCATTGCCAGGTCCCTTGGGAGATATCAGGTCAGGACAACTCTCAAGAAGAAGAACAATAGTTAAATTATTTGGGTTGTCAGGTTGTTAGCGTGAGGGATTATTCTGGTGAATATTTCAGCCTTAAGTAATACGAGCCAATGGGAATTCCTTGGCCATCCGTGGAGTGGCAGAGGTTGTGCTTTGTAGATAAAGGGATGTAAGGGCTGTCCCCAAATGGAATGTGGTTTGCAGGAACATATTGTGCATCTGAAGAAAGCAATGCAGGAAGAAAATAAACAAATGGACAATAATTCTTATTCACATTTGATGAATCAAACTATTTTATTTCCATAAGGCTCTATACAGACTTGGGGAAAGACTTTGAAAATCAATATAATCAATGCTCTTATAAAGCACACCCCAGGAAAATATAATGGCAACATGTGGCAAATTCAAATTAACTAGCGTTTCCAGCTAGTTGATGGATGGTACTTACCTGGAAGAATATTTACAAATACAATGTCTGATGTATTCTAACAGGAATCAGAGACTTAAAATGTTTTATCCCACATGCACAGAACATGTATTTTGCATCTTAAACCTATTTTAGAAACAGGTATTCAATGTGTATGTACTTATGTATTGCATATTTGTTACTTTGTTGAAAATAGAACAACATTCCCTTTAAGGTACATGATTTTTCTTTGTCTTTTTTTTTTTTAAACATTTGATTAGGGGCTCATACAACTGTTATCCCAATCCATACACACATCAATTGTGTAAAGCGCATTTGTACATCATTCTCAAAACATTTTCTCTCCACTTAAACCCCCGACATTAGGTCCTCATTTTTCCCCTCCCTCCCCGCTCCCCCCTCCCTCATGAGCCCTTGATAGTTTATAAATGGGTATTTTGTCATATCTTGCCCTGTCCGACGTCTCCCTTCACCCACTTTTCAGTTGTCTGTCCCCCAGGGAGGAGGTCACACACAGTTCCATGTAATCGGTTCCCTCTTTCCTACCCATTCTCCCTCTACACTCCCTGTTTCGCCACCCACACCACTGGTCCTGCAGGGTTCATCCGCCCTGGATTCCCTGGATTTTCAATTCCTAGGTACATTATTTTTCAGCTGCAGTACTGACTGAGATTTTCCTGGATTTGTTAGTAACCACACAGTCTTAAGCCACAAAAGAGACTGTATTTTTGTATGATGCTAATTAAACTACTTAAAAATATATATTCCTCATCATTAGATGTTTCATGAGCAAATGTTTTTCATACCAAAATTAAGGTACTGTGGGCCCATGTCAAACTGTTAAATATATTGTATACAATCTGTATATATACTATATATAACGGTATATACCATGTGGAAGGCACAGTCAGATAATAGTTCTGTGTACTGTTCTTGTAACATTAGATCTTTTTAATAAATAATTCTCTTTTTATTGACTTTTATCTTCTCTCCTGTCAACTACATGAATTGAATTATTTATCTAATGCAGACCACAGAATGCTCATGATTACTTTAGGGTTTCCATGCTGAAAACATCATTATGTTCATATTCAGTATGTTGTTATTTTAGGATTAAAAAATCCTCATAATTTCCATAGTAGTTCCTGAAAACTGGAGGCTGTGTTATAGAAGAAAAGGGAATACAAGTAAAGAAGTAAGTGCATATAGGATAAATTCAAGGTCAGCCTCACCATTCATTTCTTCGTAAGAAATAAGACCTCATTAAATAAGTTTTGTAAAGAATGTGTTTAGTGCATACATCTGCTTTTATTAAAACTATCCATTCCATTCTAGTCCAGGGATAAATCTCATAGGCACAGTCACTAACTTACGAGAAATGGAATGACGTGCATATCTGGCCTCCTTTGGTTCACAAAAGAAAAGGAGAATCCAATTCCGCATAAACCCAAGGCAATTTGCCACGAGACAGAGATCAGACTTGCCTCTTCCGCCCTCCATTCTTCTTTTATAATATTCTGCCATCAGTTGTTCCTCCCACAACACTCTACTCTTCTGCTGGATGAGACCATGCATTGCAACGGTCACTCGGGACTCACAGATGATACTCGGGAGTAGGGACTTTTATAGGACAGTTGAGTTGTATTCTGGACTGGTGGTTCCAATCCTTGGAAAGGAAACCACAATCATCACAATTGGATCGATAGGTAACATCATAGTAAATGGAGAAAAGATTGATATTGTCAAAGTTTTTGCCTTGTTTGAATCCGCAATCAATACTCATGAAAGGAGCAGTCAAGAGATCAAACGACACATCGCATTGGGTAAATCTGCACAAGACCTCTTTAAAGTATTGAAAAGCAAGGATGTTAGTTTGAGGATGAAGGTATACCTGACTCCACCTATGATCATTTCAATTGCTTTGTACGCATGCGAAAGTTGGACATTGGATAAGGAAAACTGAAGGAGAATCCAAGCTTCTGCGGAACAATCAGAACTGAAGGAGAATGAATGATGGTGCTAGCAAGAATATTGGAAGTACCGCACAGTGGCTACAACACAAGAACAACAGTGCGGCTGGCACAGGAGTAGGCAGTGTTTCCTTCTGTTGTACACAGGGCCCCTGTGAGTCAGAACTGACGCGAAGGCACAGTAGAGGAACTTAGAGTTAACCACAAGTCAAGGTAAGAAAACATTAACTATACAGTCTTTAGTCCAAGCTGCACTTCCCCTGACCCATCAGCCACGTCTCTCTCTGGACCTCAGCCTCAGAGCCATGAAGTGCCTTGGCTCGGGAAGCCCACCAACTGCCCTGCCTCACAGTCTCACGGTCTCCACACGGCTCCAATACCTGCCTCATGCTTTCTTTTTCTTGACATCTGGTCTTGGCCTGTTTCCTTTGCTATGTCTTTGTTCTACATGCCACAGCATCTGGTACCTCCTCTGGTCTCAGCTGCCAGCACATCAGATCGATCTTGAGTATGTTCCACTGGTGCCTCTACTTCCTCTATGGTCCTGGAACTTCTCTCTGTTCCTGCTTCTGAAATGGCTCATCCTTACAATTAGGAGAGAGCCAACTAAAACTGACCAATGCCCTCTATTAGTGTTACACATGACCTAGTTGCATTATGCCCCTCCCCTCAGTCATTTGGTGGGAGTTTCAGAGACATGGATAGAAGAGCTATATTAAGAAATTTCAAGTCCCCATATCACTTTTAGCACCTCAGTCCCACGGTTACATCTTTAAAGTAACCACAATCATATTCATTTTGGTTATTTGTTATGTTTCCCTTGTGCTATGTGAGTTTTAAGATCCACCAAGACAGACTGTATTAGATTCTTCTAGGGATTTCTTTCCGCTCCAGGGCAGCTCCTAGAATAGAACACATTGGCAATGAATTGGAACTAATTTAATGTTGGCTCTAAAATTTCTGTACTCATTTCCCAGACTTGACAATCATCTAAATCACTTGGAAATTTAAGCTTTTGGATTCTGGTTCAGTAGATCTGAGACTAAGGTGCTTTTATTTTCAATATCTGCATTTGGCAATATCTAGGTACAAGCCCTGGTGGCGTGGTGAATTTTGGCTGTCATGCGTCCTTTCTCTTGCCTTCAATTAAAGTCTCCTATTTTTTCAGCCACTATTAATAGTTGGGCTGCTAACTACAAAGTAAGCAGTTCAAAACCATCAGCCACTTTGCAGACTTTCTGCTCCCATGAAGATCTACAGCCTTGGAAACCCAAAAAAGAGATCACTCTGGGTCAGAATTAACTTGATGACAGTGAGATTAGTTTTTTGGAGCCAAATTATATATTTATTCTTTACATTTGCAATCTTACTTCTAGGAAGTTGTTCCTAAAATAGGTAAGCAAAACTATGTTAATGTTACAGAAGTAGATCAAGGTGCAGAACAAATAATATAATATGCTCTGTTCTGTATAAGAAGTAGGAAAATATAAATACACATGAATTCTTGCTGACATTATATAGGTATGAATAGTTGAACTAGAGACTCCTTTAAACAGTCACACCTTGAGGAGTAAGGAATGAAGGCAAGTCTTCCTGCATGTATTGTATTTCATGGTTCTTACTTTCGAAGTATTACAATGTTTTGTGTCATATTTTTATTTAACTATTAAAAAAATTAAGCAAGAGCAACTCCCCCCCACACACACACACAAACAAAGAAATACAAATGGGCCTAACTATATATCAGTCAGTTAACTAACAGGTAAAGTCTCTGTAGTTTTTCTTTATAGAAGAATGATAACATAAGTAAGTATTGAGATTCAGTATTTTGACATTGTACGCCTAGTGGGTGAAATAGTCAATGAAGAAAAAGCTAAATTATATTCATTTATTCTGTTAGTCATATAACTTGTTTGGTTATTTTTTTAGTTATACAAGTATATAAATGAAAATAAAAATTGTAAGTGAGAAAGAGCAAATTTCAAGAAAAGTGACAAAAAATTTAAAATTAAATAAAATCTATCATCTTTCATTTGATTTAGAAATATCAATATAAGGTCATCATTTATTTAAATAAAAATATCAAAATGTTAATAATTGTTGAAAAGGAGTGAATAATTGTAAGTGAGCATCTATTATAATATTCTTTACTTTTGTGACTGTTTAACATTTTCCATAAGATACCACAAAGCAAAAAAATCCCTCAACTTTGGGTTCCTTGTCAGGAAGAGCCACCTTTGGAAAACCACTAAAACATTCTAACAAAAAGCTCACGTCTATCTCCACATCTTGATCTTGTAATGAAACATTAAATCACTTTTCCTTAAAATAACTTTTATGAAAAAAAGAAATACCAAATATAACCTATTTTAATATTCTATGTTTTTAATAAAAGAAACCTTTTATTATGTCTTAATATGTCAGAAAATATTATGACAGGCCACATTGGTGTGTTCTAATTTGTTTTTATGTAGAGTGATAATACTGTTTCATCTTTATGAAATGCATATTATTAATGATTAATAAATTTGCAAGGGTACAGCCTTACATTGCACTATATTAAGTGAATAAAAATAAACTTCACTAAATATTTTGTTACTCCATGACATAAACTGAATTGAAGGTTTAATAAGCAAATTAATCATTGCCGACGTTTTATATTTCATCTCTACTTTCACATTTGCCATATTGTAGAAAAGTATCAGTGCTCTCTCACCTGAATGTCAGAGGACAAATTAAGAACTTAGCAACCCGTGTTTTACCACCATTTATCTCAGCTCTAACATGTAAGACACTATATTCAGAGGGTCTTTTTCTAATTTATTGCTTCAACTATTTTTAAATTTTGAATTAAAATAATATTTGGTATTAGAAAATCCTACATCTTGCCAAACATCTGTATCTCTGCATCTCTGACCTCTGTAGCATATTCCATATTAACTCATGACAGAAACTAATGACTATCTAAAACAGTCTCATAAAAAATAGTTTATAAAATGCCAACGCTAAAAGTTCCCTGTGTTACAGAAACAAACTCAACAAGCTTATTTCCTCTTCTCCCAGAGATGTAACTAAACTGAACTCCTCCTCCAGGCCTCTCTTGCACTTCGGTGTGGATAGACAGCTGACCGTGATGGGAATGGTACGTGCTTGTTAACCATATTCTAGTACAGACTATATACTATTTTCTAAAGTAAATCTTTTTGCTTTCACATTAGTCTAAAATCAAAGGAAAAAATGTTTCAATCATTCTGAATGGTTAAAATTCGATTTTGAAAGTAGCATG